ACACCCGGCCGATTTTTTGATTTATTGTAGAGATGAGGTCTCACCAAGTTGCCCAGGCGGATCTCAAACCCGCGGGCTCAGGCAGTCCACTCACCTCGGCCTCACAAAGTGCTGGGATTACAGGCTGAGCCACCGAGCCCGGCAATTTACCTTTTTCTATGAGTGTTACATGTATTATGTTGAATCGAGATTTTCAGTTTGGTCAGTCAATATCCTAATTAGCAAAACACTGTTAAGGGAAATAATTCTTACACTATGGAATTTCTCTACCTAAAGAGTTGCAAGTAGAAGCTGGGCTCGGTGGCTCAGCCTGTAATCCTGCGCTTTGGGAGACTGAAGTGAGTGGACTGCCTGAGCCCGCGGGTTCAAGACCCACCTGGGCAACTTGGCAAGACCTCATCTCTACAATAAATCAAAAAATTAGCCAGGCGTGGTAGCGCACGCCTGTAGTTCCAGCTACTCGGAAGGCTGAGGTGGAAGGATCACCGGAGCCCAGCAGTCAAGGCTGCGGTAGCTGGGAGCAGTCACTGCACTCCAGTCTGGGCGACAGTGAGACTCCAACTCAAAAAAAAAAGAGTTGCAAGTAGAACTTTGCAATAACAAATAGTGTCTGCATCATCCATATAGTTTAGAAGTCATTCATACAAGGTCAAGGAGCAACCCCAAAGAACAGCAAGGACAAGTTTAACACACGGCTTTTCCCCCGTCATGCATGCTGCTCACTCACACACATCTAAGTGGAGAGCTCTTTTTTTTTTTTTTTTTGAGTTGGAGTCTCACTCTGTCGCCCAGACTGGAGTGCAGTGGCCGCTCCCGGCCACCACAGCCTCAACATGCTGGGCTCTGGCGATCCTTCCGCCTCAGCCTTCCGAGTAGCCGGAATTACAGGCATGCGCTACCACGCCCGGCTGATTTTTTGATTTATTGTAGAGATGAGGTCTCGCTGCCCAGGCGGGTCTCGAACCCGTGGGCTCAGGCAATCCACTCACCTCAGCCTCTCAAAGGCGCGAGATTACAGGCTGAGCCACTGAGCCTGGCTAAGTGGAGATCTTTTTTTTTTTTTTTTTTGAGTTGTAGTCTCACTCTTGTCACCCAGACTGGAGTGCAGTGGCCATTCCCTGCCACTGCAGCCTTGACCTGCTGTGTTCCGGCAATCCTTCCGCCTCAGCATTCCAAGTAGCTGGAACTACAGGCGCGTGCTACCACATCCAGCTAATTTTGGATTTTATTGTAGAGATGAGGTCTCGCCAAATTGTCCAGGCGGGTCTCAAACCCGTGGGCTCAGGCAATCCACTCACCTCAGCCTCCCAAAGTGCTGGGATTACAGGCTGAGCCACCGAGCCCAGCTTAAGTGGAGATCTTTATGATGACCGCCAGTCAAAAATAGGGCTGGATTTGGAAGAATGTTTTCACCACCCAAATGTCAATGGCAGAAAGAAAGCAGAAGAATCTGCTCACATTACAGTGTAGCAGATGGCCAGAAGGTTCCAGAAAGATTTCTAGATGACTACTGAACTCTACCTATGACTATCTGCCCGGAATATGTGGAGCCCAAGGCTTTTCTCCCCATAGGCCACTAGCTCTGGCTAAGCAACTCAGAAACTTTTGTTTCACATATCAGAGGGACACTACACAGCATACATCTGCACAACTCCATTGGAAATGCCAAAACAATAGCTCCAGTGAAAATAAAAGCAAGCCATCCTGAAGTACAAAGGATATGGCAGCGAGAAAGGTAGCAGTCCCAAGTATTTTGATGCTTTAATAAGAGATATCTAGGCTGCTACTCTGAATCATTCTATGACAAACCATAACATCACATCTCCAAAAATATCTGCCAGTATAAGAAGAAACACTTCAATCTGAAACAACAGGAGTCGGAGAAAACAAACTTCAAACTATAAGGGGGTAATTCAGTCCTTCTCTGCTATGATTCGGCTGTCTCATTATATCACTTGGCAATTTTTCTTTCTGATGCTCGATGACTTTGCATCCCTTTTTCCCAGTTGCCTCAAATTACCTATAATTCTTTAATATTTCACACAGAATAAATCTGCTGGAGATTCAGAAACCAAAGACGCATCGGGGATTCCCCCAGCAGCACATTCCTTACCCACCTGTGGCTCTGTGTGAGTCGGAGAGGGGTGCTGATGCCTCAGCAAGAGCTGCCAGGGTGGCCAGCACTGAGGTGGTGGAATTTGAGAACTGTACTGTTGAGGCATGGGGGTCACCTAGTTCAGTAAAAAAGGCAAGTGAGGTCCAGTGTAAACAAGAAATGGAGGCAAACCACAAAAGGCTCATTAAATCAAGACTCAGCTTTTCACTCTAATGTCCTTAATCTTGTTCTTTGATCCAAACTGACATAAACCAATTATCATGGTGTTAAAACTCTTTTGAGGTTTAAAAAGTTTTCCTTTAAAGTAGACTAAATTAATATGCTTGGAACAGGACCACTGCATTCCCCTCATTTGATTATTCTCTCAGCACTGCCAGTGCTGAGCATTAGTAGCTAACAGGCCAAGAGTGCTACCCACACCCTCGACTGGCTGTGCAGGGCTCTACTTGGCAGCAGCAGCGAGCGTACAAGGCATGCTTCACCTGAGCTCAGCAGTGCTCAGGGAGTAGTCCCGCCTGGGCTCTCCTCAACTGTGCTTCCTCTGTTCACCAGCTAAGTGGGTGTGAAGAACAGGATTCACATCTAATGCAAGGACTGTTAAAAGTCTGAAGTTGACTGGACTCGGTGGCTCAGCCTGTAATTCCAGCACTTTGGGAGGCCAAGGCGAGTGGACTGCCTGAGCCTAGGGGTTTGAGACCAGCTTGGGCAACTTGGCAAGACCACATCTCTACAATACATCAAAAAAATTACTGGGCATGGTAGTGCATGCTTGTAGTTGCAGGTACTTGGAAGGCTGAAGTGGAAGGATTGCCTGAGCCCAGCAGGTAGAGGCTACGGTGGCTGGGAGTGTGCCACTGCAATTCAGTCTGGGTGACAGAGTGAGATTCTAACTAAAAAAAAAAGTCTGAGCCAGGCTCGGTGGCTCACCCTGTAATCCCACGCTTTGGGAGGCTGAGGTGAGTGGATTGCCTGAGTCTGCGGGTTCGAGATCCACCTGGGAAACTTGGTGAGACCTCATCTCTACAATAAATCAGAAAATTAGCTGGGTGTGGTAACACACGCCTGTAGTTCCAGTTACTTGGAATGCTGAAGCAGAAGGATCGCTTGAGCCCAGCAGGTCGAGGCTGTGGTGGCCGGGAGTGTGCCACTGTACTCCAATCTGGGCGACAGAGTGAGACTCCAACTCAAAAAAAATAAAAATAAAAGTCTGAAGTTTCGGCCAGGTGCAATGGCTTATACCTATATTCCCAGCACTTTGGGAGGTCAAGGCAGGAGGATTGCTTGAGCCCAAGAGTTTGCGAGCAGCCTATGCAACATAGAGGAACCTCATTTCTGCAAAAAATTAAAAACTTAGCCAGACATGGTGGTGTGCGCCTGTAGTCTCAGCTACTTGGTAGGCTAAGGTGGGAGGACTGTCTGAGCCCAGAGGGTCTAGCCTATGGTGAACCATGATGATGCCATTGTACTTCCTCCTGGGTGACAGAATGACACCGACTAAAAAAAAAAAAAGTAGCCAGGCATGGTGGCTCACGCCTGCAATCCCAGCACTTTGGGAGGCAGTGGTGACAGAACTGCCTGAGCCCATGGGTTCAAGACCAGCCTGGGCAATTTGGTGAGACCTTGTCTCTACAATAAATAAAAAAAAAAATTAGTCAGGTGTGGTGGCACATGCCTGTGGTTCCAACTACCTGGAAGACTGAGGTGGAAGGATAGCCTGAGCCCAGCAGAACGAGGTTGCAGTGGCCGTGAGCATGGCACTGCACTCCAGCCTAGGCGACAGAGTGAGACTCCAACTCAACAAAACAAAACAAAACACAATAAATCAAAAAAGAAATTAGCTAGGTGTGGTGGCACACAACTGTAGTTCCAGCTACGTGGAAGGCTGAAGCGGAAGAATCACCCGAGCCCAGCGGGTCGAGTCTGTGGTGGCCGTAAGCATGCCACTGCAATCCAGCCTGGATGACAGAATGAAACTCTGACTCAAAAAAATAAAATTAAGTAAATAAATAAATAAATGCCTGAAGTTTCATCTATTGAATGTGAAAGGGTAGGACAACAGATTACTGCTCAAAACAATAACTAGGTACTAGAGCTACTTTGTGATGGCCTTTTCCTCTTGTGTCTGTGTGCTGTGCTCACAGCTAAATTGTAAGAGGGAAGTACATTAGATCTGGCCACAGGCATGCCTGATCGTATGAGCCAAAAGTACTATTGTACTTGCAGATGTTTTCTTGTGGGAGAAAAAGGTAGCACTCAACAATTTTGCACAAATCTAACTTTTATAAAATGAACTGTATTTCCCTATGTCTTTCACTGTAGTTTCAGAGATACTTATTGTTCCAGTTGCGAATGGATTACCTCTCAGCTCCAAACCCACCCTTGTCTGCCTTGCCTTGTAAGGCTGCAGCTAGACCCTCTGTATATTTCTTGTTGGCTGGATGAGATTAAACTTTATAGAGAAGTAGTGGCTGTTCCCTATGCTGGATACCCCTGTATTCTTTAGAGTTCTCCTCACCCCTCAGTAGTTAACCCACTATTCCTGGTTAAAAGGAATGGTGTATACACTATATGTATGAGTTTATAAATCATAAACTGGAAATTATATATAAATGTATATAGTTAAATGATACAAATCACCTTGGAGTTTGTCTTCTGATTTGATTCTGACTGATACAATTATCTTCTTTGTAAATGTACTCTTAATTTTTAAGTTTTCCCACTACCCAGATTCTTTCTCGCATTTCTTCCATCAAGAAGTCAATTATCTGTAAGATACTCAAGGAAAACTCCTGTTTAACACTCCTTACAGAAAAGCCTTCACAGAGCAAAGGATCCTTTTCTAATGTGATTAATCCAGGGAATCTAACTAGTTTATAAAACAAATTTCAGCAAACTTTCCTTAAAAAGATGAATTACAAGCCGGGCTCGGTAGCTCAGCCTGTAATCCCGCGCCTTTGGGAGGCTGAGGTGAGTGGATTGCCTGAGCCCGCGGGTTCGAGACCTGCCTGGGCAGCGAGACCTCATCTCTACAATAAATCAAAAAATCAGCCGGGCATGGTAGCGCATGCCTGTAATTCCGGCTACTTGGAAGACTGAGGCGGAAGGGTCGCCGGAGCCCAGCAGGTCGAGGCTGCGGTGGCCGGGAGCGGGCCACTGCACTCCAGTCTGGGCGACAGAGTGAGACTCCAACTCAAAAAAAAAAAAAAAAAAAGATGAATTACAGCTGGGCTTGGTGGCTCAGCCTGTAATCCCACCCCTTGGGAGGCTAAGGTGAGTGGATTGTCTGAGCCCGCGGGTTCAAGACCCACCTGGGCAACTTGGCAAGACCTCATCTCTACAATAAATCAAAAAATTAGCCGGGTGTGGTAGCACGTGCCTGTAGTTTCAGCTACTGGGAAGGCTGAGGCAGAAGGATTGCCGGAGCCCACCAGGTCAAGGTTGCGGTGACCAGGAGCGGCCACTGCACTCCAGTCTAGGCGACAGAGTGAGACTCTAACTCAAAAAAAAAAAAAGATGAATTACTTGTGCAGTAGTACTCCTTAAGCTGTGAACCATATTAATTAAAGCTTCTGGAGGATGACTGTGGGAGTAAGGATGAAGATGGAGCTAATGATGGTATTCCTATTTTATTTATTTTTTCCTTTTTTTCCCCTCTACACATATACTCAGGGGCCAGTTTTATTCTAATGCTTTCATAAAATACCCAAGGAGCCAAATGGTCAGAGTAGAACACCATGCCCGACCTCCAGGAGCCAATGTCTACCAAATGACTCCATGCAGAGCAACATTCAGCTCTAGCCTATTCACAGATTTTTCTGCTTAGTTTATGCTTTTCTCATCATTCAGCCTTTCATACCAAATGCTTATATAAGAACTCACAAATCCACCTAAAATGAAACAAAGAATATGAATTTTTTTTTTTGAGTCAGGGTCTCTCTGTGGCCCCAGCTGAAGAACAGTGATTTGACCACCACTCACAGCAGCCTCAACCTCCTGGGCTCAGGCAATCCTCCCACCTCAGCCCCAAGCAGCTGGAGTCACAGGTGCCTACTACCACTCTCAGCTAATTTTTTGATTTATTGTCGAGATGAGGTCTCGCCAAATTGCCCGGGCTGTTTTTGAACGCAGGCAGTCCTTTTGCCTCTGCCTCCTAAAGCGCTGGGATTGCAGGTGTAAGCCACCGTGCCCGGCCCCAACTTATTTTTTTACTTATTGTAGGGACCAGGTCTCGCCAAGTTGTCCAGGCTAGTCTCAAACCCCTAGACTCAGGCAATCCTCTCACCTCCACCTCTCAAACTGCTGGAATTACAGGGGTGCGCTACCGCGCCCAGCTTGTCCCAATTCTTAAAACTATTACTAGATGATGGGAAACAAGAAGCCCACTCATCATTCCAGGAAATAAAATCCTTTAATCCAGTTGGATAACACACAGCCTGAATTTGTCTTAAAAATGTTCTCTTTTCTTTTAACTGTACTGGTGATTAAGCACTGGATGGGCCAATCAGCTAAAGGGAGATAGCCAGGTAGAACTGCTTCCTGAATAAAATGACATTGGGGAGGTCAGCTTCATTTAGTGATAGTTTAGCAATTTCGATTTGCAGTTGTCAACAGAGAGAAGATAAAAAGAAGAGTAGGTCTGCCAAAAGCTACATGACAAACACAATACTAGACCACAAGAACCAAGGCAAGGAAGTTCTGTCCTGAATGTGTTAGGCTTTGCTTATCATTCCAGATCAGGGTCAGGAGAATTTCAGTAGCTAGACTAAAAGATGCAACTCTAGCTCCTTCTGCATGTTTGTGAACATACAACTTTGTTGGCTACTAATGATTTTTAGATTATAAAAGCACTTATTTTAATAAGTGTGACCTGAGCCACTACAAATGCAAGAGATTGTGACTGTTCTGATCACATGTATACGTATATTTAAGCTAAATTTTTTACATCACCCGGTTGAAAGCAAAATGTTTTTAAATAACTGCTGATAGCCTACAAAATAACGATCACTACTGCCCCCTTGTGGGCATGTCAGGGTCAACCTGCACAGAGAAGTGACATTTTCATTTAATAGTTATTACTGAAGCCCTACTATAAAATGGACCCTGAAAAACAAAATATCAAAGTCTCACAGCAATCTCATAAGATAAGTATTATTACATCCCAAATTTTTTTCCGCTTTGTTGTTTTTCTAGTTTGTTTGGGGGTATGTGTTACATCCCAATTTTACAGATAAGTAAACAAGGCTTAGAGAAGTAAGTAGTTTTCCCAAGGTCAAGCAGCTAGTCAATCAATAATTATTTAAGGCTAGACACAGTAGCTCATGCTTGTAATGCCAGCATTCTGGGAGGCCAATGTGGGAGGATTGTTTGAGGCCAGTTTTTTTTTAATTGGAATCTCATTCTTGTCACCCAGGCTGGAGTGCAGTGGCACGCTCACAGCCACTGCAGCCTCAACCTGCTGGGCTTAGGCAATCCTTCTACCTCAGCCTTCCGAGTAGCTAGAACTACATGCCTGGCTAGTTTTTTGTGACTTATTGTAGAGACAAAGTCTCACCAAGTTGCCTAGGCTGCTCTTGAACTCTCAAACAAACCTCTTGCCTCGGCCTCTGAAAGTGCCAGGATCACCGGAGGCCAGGAGTTTGAGACCAGCCTAGACAACATGGCAAGACCTTGTCTTACAAAAAATAAAGAAAAAATTAGCCTAGTGTGGTGGGCACACGCGTAGTCACAGCTACTCACCAGGCTGAGGCGGAAGGGCTTCCGGAACCCAGGAGGTGGAGGCTACAGTGAGCTGTGATCATGCCACTGTACTCCAGGCTGGGACAGAGTGAGATTCCAACTCAAAAAAATTATTATTATTACTTGAACACAATTCTGATTTTAAAAAGTATATAAATAATAAAGCAAAAGCCGGGCTCGGTGGCTCAGCCTATAATCCCAGTGCTTTGGGAGGCTGAGGTGAGTGGACTGCCTGAGCCTGCAGGTTTGAGACCCCCCTGGGCAGGTGAGACCTCATCTCTACAATAAATTTTTTAAAAAACTAGCCGGGAGTGGTAGCACGCGCCTGTAGTTCCAGCTACTGGAAGACTGAGGCGGAAGGATCGCTGAAGCCCAGCAGGTCGAGGCTGTGGTGGCCGGGAGTGGCCACTGCACTGCAGTCTGGGTGACTGAGTGAGACTCCAACTCAAAAAAATAAAATAAAATAAAAAATAAAGCAGTAAAATAAATAAACAATAAAGCAGTAACAAACATAAGTGGCTGTTAGAGTACTGATGTAAAAGAGGTAAATTTGATCATCTGAATATAGTATAAGTGTTAATTTATTCTAGGGAGGATATGGAAAAAGAAAATAGCAGAGAAAAGTACTTGGTGTCAGGGTCTCACTCTGTTGCCCAGGCTAGAGTATAGTAGCACGATCATCACTCACCGCAGCCTCCAACTCCTGGCTCAGGTGATCCACCTGCTTCAGCCTTCCAAGTAGCTGGGACTACAGGCACATGCCACCATGCCAGGCTAATTTTTTGACTTTTTGTAGAGACGAGGTCTCACTATGTTGCCCAGGCTTGTCTCAACTCCTAGGTTCGAGCATTTATCCCCAAGTGCTGAGATTGCAAGCGTGAGTCACCCTGCCCAACCTTCTTATTGCTTTAGAATATGAACATTTATCTATTTCCCGTAGTAGTACTATATTGAGGCATCCTCATATTTTTTACATTTGGGCCAGGCATAACTTTCAATAGATTAATCTATAGTACATTTTATCTTTTTGTTTTTTAGAGATCATATGATTATGTCACTGCATTCCAGTCTTGAACTCCTAGGATCAAGTAATCATCAGCTTCCTGAGTAGCTGAGACTACAGGCTCATGTAACCATGCCTGGCTAATTTTTTTATTTTTATTTTTTGTATAGATGGAGTCTCACTAAGTTGCCCAGACTAGTCTTGAACTCCTTGGCCTCTCAAAGCGCTGGGATTACAGGCATAAACCACCACACTGGGCCCAGAATGTTTAAATTTATTTATTTATTTATTTTTTAGTTGGAGTCTCACTCTGTCGCCCATACTGGAGTGCAGTGGCCGCTCCCGGCCACCACAGCCTTGTCCTACTGGGCTCCGGAGATCCTTCCGCCTCAGCCTTCCAAATAGCTGGAACTACAGGTGTGCACCACCACACCTAGCTAATTTTTTGATTTATTATAGAGATGAGGTCTCGCCAAGTTGCCCAGGTGGGTCTCGAACTAGCGGGCTCAGGCAATCCACTCACTTCAGCCTCACAAGGCGTGGGATTACAGCCTGAGCCACTGAGCCCGGCCAGAATGTTTTACTTTAAACACAACTGGCTGGACGCAGTGGCTCAGCCCGTAGTCCCAGCACTTTGCAAGGCAGAGGTGATAGGACTGCCTGAGCCCGGGGGTTCGAGACCAGCTTGGGCAACTTGGTAAGACCTCCTCTCTACAATAAATCACAAAAACTAGCCAGGCGTGGTGGCGTGCATCTGTAGTTCCAGTTACTTGGAAGGCTGAGGTGGAAGGATTGCCTGAGCCCAGCAGGTCAAGGCTGCGGTGGCCGTGAGCATGCCACTGTATTCCAGCCTGGGCAACAAGAGTGGGACTCCAACTCAAAAAAAAATTAATAATTTAAAAAACCACAATAAATATTCATGTATAACCCCTACCCCTATGCATGATCTTCCCTTCTCCCAGCAAGAAAAAGTACCTTGGCTTTAAAATCTATTACAAATCTCTTCAAGGAAATATTTTAATAAAGGAGTGGGTATCAGACAGGTTATCTGTTCATCTCTAAGAAAACCTGGGGTTCTGTTCTCTTCTTTTTTTTGAGTAGGAGTCTCGCTCTGTCGCCCAGGTTGGAGTGTGGTGCGACACTCATGGCCATTGCAGCCTTGACCAGCTGGGCTCAGGTGATCCTTCCATCTCAGCCTTCCAAGTAGCTGGAACTACAGGTGCGCGCTACCATGCCCGGCTAGTTTTTGATTTATTGTAGAGATGAGGTGTCACCAAGTGGCCCAGGCTGGTCTCGAACTCCTGGACTCAGACAATCCTCTCGCCTCTGTCTCCCAAAGGTCTGGGATTACAGACAGGAGCCACCATGTCTGGCTTCTGTTCATTTTTAAGTCTAAAATAAATGACATGTTATTAGAACATTACCTGAGGTTGTTTTGGTGTTGGTTGAAGAAACAAGGCCAGCAAGGTTAACAACCTCTCCCGACGTGAAGATGAATGGAGCAGCCATGGTCACAGGGTTAGTCACAGGGTTGGCTCTCTCAGGATTAGCATTCACCTGATTCTGCATTGCTTCCTACCACACAAGGCAGGATATTTCAATGTCAGAACTTATTAACTTTGGTTATACAGTTACTGAACAGCACACTCTCTACCCTGACTCTAGTGCTCTATCAAGCAGAACTAGTTTCGGCACACAGTGTCCCAAGGAGCTGAGAGTTCTCATGACGACTGCCTTTTTTTTTTTCAAACAAGGGAAACAGAGTTGTTAGGTTTCTTTCCCAAGCTTGTTTCTACTTCAGAAAAGCAAAGGTGCATTATTTGCAAAAACTTCTAGAAAATGCATTTAAACTTTCTGGATCTTATTTTTATTTATTTTAAAAATGAGAAGAAAAAAAGAAAGAAAGAAAAATGAGGAAGTTGGCCTGAATAGTCTAATTGTGTGACCAATGATCTCCAAGTCAGTGTGTTAGCAGGAGATCCCTGCAGAGTATGTGTAGGGAACACTATTCTCCAGAGTTCTGTCCAACACTTGTTCCATTCTGGTACTGAAGAAGTTCCTAAGAGAATATATCCCGAGCAAATAAATTAGTGTCAGACTTTAAAGTCTAGCTCTGTATGCTGCACTTTTGCTTCTAGCGATATCTGCTCAATTTTGGTAAAAAGATACTTACCGTTATTTTATTTTATTACTTGTAGACACAGCTTTTTTTTTTTTGAGTCAGTGTCTCACTCTGTTGCCCAGACTGGAGTGCAGTGGCATGCTCAGGGCCATGGCAGCCTCAACCTGCTGGCTCAGGCGATCCTTCTGCCTGAACCTTCCAAGTAGCTGGAACCACAGGTGTGTGCCACCATATCCAGCTAATCTTTTGATTTATCATAGAGATGAGGTCTTGCCAAGTTGCCCAGGCTGGTCTCGAACCCTTGGGCTCAGGCAATCCTCTCACCTCCACCTGCTGGGATTACAGGTGTGAGCCACCACGCCCAGCTAGAACCAGTTTTCTATAAACATAGTCGCTACTAAGAAAGTCCAGTTATGAAAGGGCTCTAAACAAAGAATTGAAACTTGAAGAAGATGATCAGGTTATAACCATCTGTCAGAAAAAACTGAAAATGCAGCAGAGATGGCCATTTTTCATATATAATTATCCTCTTGACTAAGAGCTTCAATTGAAACAAATTATTAGCTGGGTACAGTGCCTCACACCTATAATCCAAACACTCTGGGAAGCCAAGGCAGGAAGAGCTAGAGCTGGGCTCTTGGAGTTGCTAGAGCCCAAGAGTTCGAGACCAGCCTGGGTAAAATAGCAAGACATCATCTCTAAGAAAAATTTTTAAAAATTAGCTAGGTGTGGTGGAGTCCACCTGTAATCCCAGCTATTCGGGAAGCTAAAGTGGAAGAATCACCTGAGCCCAGGACATTGAGGCCACTGTGAGCTAAATCCTTTCTTGAATCTGCCCTTTCTTCTGTCCTTCACTATCACTTCCTTAGTTTAAATTCTCATTGGCTCTTGCCTGTCATAATGAAAGTCACATTATTTAGCATTAAGTGACCTCTGTCCAATGTGTGTGCCATACTCCAAACAATAATCGTTCTAAAACAAATCTAATCATATCAGTCCTCTAAGAGCATCTGCTGGAAACTCATGTGCTGGCCCACATAAGAGTTCAAACCCCTTCACATGCCACATAACACCCCTATGTTCAGAACCAAGCCTAACTCTCGAGCTGGGTTAGTGTCTGCCATTCCCAAACTCCACTTTCTTTTTTTTTTTTTTTTAAGTAGGAGTCTCACTCTGTCACCCAGACTGGAGTGCAATGGCCGCTTCCGGCCACCACAGCCTCAACCTGCTGGGCTCCGGCGATCCTTCCACCTCAGCCTTCCAAGTAGCTGGACCTACAGGCGTGCACTACCACGCTTGGCTGATTTTTTGATTTATTGTAGAGATGAGGTCTCACCAAGTTGCCCAGGCGGGTCTCGAACCCGTGGGCTCAGGCAAGCCACTCACTTCAGCCTCCCAAGGTGCGGGATTACAGGCTGAACCACCGAGGCTGGCTCCAAACTCCACTTTCTTCGCTCACTCTCTATTCACAAAATTACTTACTCTTTCCTCTATGTTCTTTCATACCTCTGTGCCTTTGATTTGCTTTTTCTAGCCTAGATTATAGTTTTCTCAATTCTTTGCTTACTTCTTCAACACTTAGTTTCAGTTCCACACACACTTGAATCTTTCCCTTCAGCAGCATTAATAGTCCTTCTGCGCTCCCATAGCACTTGCTAGCTATCTGTTGATCACATAGTACTGGAAAGCTTTATTTCCTGTCTTTACTTTGATCATGCTGTCAACCCTCTGAGGGAAGAGGCATGCCCTATTAATTTTTTTATCCCCCATTCTATTGTCCCCTGATACACAGTGCTGGCTTAAAAATTACTGGATGAGCCGGGCTCGGTGGCTCAGCCTGTAAACCCGCGCCTTTGGGAGGCTGAGGTGAGTGGATTGCCTGAGTCCGCGGGTTCGAGACCCGCCTAGGCAGCGAGACCTCATCTCCACAATAAATAAAAAAAAATCAGCCGGGCGTGGTGGCTCATGCCTGTAATTCCGGTTACTTGGAAGGCTGAGGCGGAAGGATCGCCGGAGCCCAGCAGGTCGAGGCTGCGGTGGCCGGGAGCGGCCACTGCACTCCAGTCTGGGCGACAGAGTGAGATTCCAACTCAAAAAAAAAAAAAAATTACTGGATGAAATCATAACAAATAATTTTTAATTCTGAGATGGTTTGATCACCCAATATGCTTTAGAGCCACATAGATGCTCCCCAACTCTTTTTTGACTTTATCATGGTGTGAAAGAAATTCAGCCTATGATGGGGTTACATCTAGAAAAACTCATTGTAAATTGACCCAGATATAATGTCATCATAAATAGAGGAGCATCTGTGTACTCTCACATCAGTTGATGTACACCCAGAAAACTTAAAGTGGCCAGACACAGTAATCCCAACATTTTGGGAGGCCAAGGTAGAAGGACAGTTTGAGCCCAGGAGTTTGAGACTAGCTTAGGCAACATAGCAAGATCTCATCTCTACAAAAAAGTCAAAAAATTAGGCCAGGCATGGAGGCTCACGCCTATTAATCTCAGCACTTTCAGAAGGCGAGGTGAGAGGATTGCCTAAGCCCACGGGTTCGAGACCAACCTGGGCAACTTGGTGAGACCTTATCTCTACAATTAATCAAAAATTAGCCAGATGTGGTGGCGTATGCCTGTAGTTCCAGCTACTTGGAAGGCTGAGGCAGAAGGATCGCTGGAGCCCAGCAGGCCGAGACTGCGGTAGCCGGGAGTGTGCCACTGCACCCCAGTCTGGGCGAGAGAGTAAGACTCACTCAAAAAAAAAAAAAATTAGGCTGGTGTGGTGGCATACACCTGTAGTCCAAGTTATTCAAGAGGATGAGATTGGAGGATTGCTTGAGCCTTAGGAGTTTGAGAATGTGGTGAGTTGTGACTGTGCTACTGCATTCTAGCCTGGGCGACAGAGTGAGGCCCTGACTAAAAATAATAATAAAGAAAACATAAGGCCAGGCTCAGTGGCTCAGCCTATAATCCCAGCACTTTGGGAGGCGAAGGCAAGTGGACTGCCTGAGCCTGCAGGTTCAAAACCCACCCGGGCAACTTGGAGAGACCTCATCTCTACAATAAATAAAAAATTAGCCAGGTGTGGTAACACATGTCTATAGTTCCGGCTACTCGGAAGGCTGAGGTGGAAGGATCACCAGAGCCCAGCAGGTTGACGCTGAGGTGGCTGTGAGCGTGTTTGCCACTGCACTCCAGCCTGGGCGAAGAAGTGAGACTCCGACTCAAAAAACAAAACATAAAAGTAGCCAGGCACGGTGGCTCACATTTGTAATCCCAGCACTTTGGGAGGTAAAGGCGAGAGGATAGCCTGACCCCAGGGGTTCGAGACCAGCCTGGGCAACTTGGCAAGACCTCATCTCAACAATAAATAAAAAAATTATCCGGGCATGGTGGTGCACACCTGTAGTCCTAGCTACTTGGAAGGCTGAGGTGGAAGGATCACCTGAGACCAGTAGGTTGAGGCTGCGGTGGTTGTGAGTTTGCCACTGCACTCCAGCCTGAGCAACAGAGTGAAACTTGACTCAAAATAAATAAATAAAAAAGTACCTTTTAGTATAGTCCCAAGTCAAGTTTAATTGAAAAATAAATGTTCCTGAGGTTGGGCGCTGTGGATCACACCTGTAATCCCAGTACTTTGGAAGATGGAGGCGAGAGGATTGCCTAAGCCCAGGGTTCGAGACCAGCCCGGGTAACTGGCGAGACCTCGTATCTACAATAAATTTAAAAATTAGCCGGGCTCGGTGGCTCAGCCTGTAATCCCATGCTTTGGGAGGCCGAGGTAAGTGAATTGTCTGAGCCCGCGGGTTCAAGACCCGCTGGGGCAACTTGGCGAGACCTCATCTCTACAATAAATCAAAAAATTAGCCGGGTGTGGTAGCGCGCACCTGTAGTTCCAGCTACTTGGAAGGCTGAGGCGGAAGGATGGCCGGAACCCAGCAGGTCGAGGCTGCTGTGGCCGGAAGTGGCCACTACACTCCAGTCTGGGCGACAGAGTGAGACTCCAACTCAAAACATTAATTAATTAATTAATTAAATAAAAATTTATTGTATAGATGAGGTCTCCTCAAGTTTCCCAGGCTAGTCTCAAACCCGTGGGCTCAGGCAATCCTCTCACCTCAGCCTCTCAAAGTGCTGGGATTATAGGCATGAGCCACGTGCCCTGCCAAAAATTCTTTTCTTAAAGAAAGACCCTCAGCCAGGCTTGGTGGCTCAGTCTGTAATCCCGCACTTTGGGAGGCTGAGGTGAGTGAATTGCCTGAGCCCGTGGGTTCAAGACCTGCCTGGGAAACTTGGCGAGAACTTATCTCTACAATAAATCAAAAATCAGCCGGGCATGGTAGCACGCGCCTGTAGTTCCAGCTACTTGGAAGGCTGAGGCGAAGGGATCACTGGAGCCTAGCAGGTTGAGGCTGCAGTGGCTGGGAGCGGCCACTGCACTCCAGTCTGGGTGACAAAGTGAGACTCCAACTCAAAAAAAAAAAAAATTAGCTGGGTGTGGTGGTGTGTACCTGTGGTTCCAGCTACTTGGAAGGCTAAGGTGGAAGGATCACCTGAGCCCAGAAGGTTGAGGCTGTGGTGGCCATTTGTGTGCCACTGTACTCCAGCCTAGGTGACAAAGTGAGACTCCTAAACAAAAAAAAAAAAAAAAATGTTCCTGGGAAAAAAAAATCACTCTAAAGTCAAATAATTGTTTTTGTATTGGCTACGTTGTTCTTTTTTTTTTTTTTTTGAGTTGGAGTCTCGCTCTGTCGCCCAGACTGGAGCGCAGTGGCCGGTCCCAGTCACCGCAGCCTCGACCTACTGGGCTCCAGCGATCCTTCCGCCTCAGCCTTCTGAGTAGCCGGAATTACAGGCATGCGCTACCACGCCTGGCTGATAATTTTTTGATTTATTGTAGAGATGAGGTCTCGCCAAGTTGCCCAGGTGGGTCTCAAACCTGTGGGCTCAGACAATCCACTCACCTCAGCCTCCCAAGGCGCAGGATTACAGGCTGAGCCACCGAGCCCGGCTACAACATTGTTCTTAATCATCATGACTTCAGGGCTTCATAGAATTTTTTTTGTAAAAGGTACTAATGATGAGTACAAGATTGAGACATATTAGAAGTGCTACTTTAGCCGGGCTCGGTGGCTCAGCCTGTAATCCCGCGCCTTTGGGAGGTTGAGATGAGTGGATTGCCTGAGCCTGCGGGTTCGAGACCTGCCTGGGCAGAGAGACCTCATCTCTACAATAAATAATAAAAAAAAAATCAGCCTGGCGTGGTAGTGCGTGCCTGTAATTCCAGCTACTCGGAAAGCTGAGGTGGAAGGATCGCTGGAGCCCAGCAGGCGAGGCTGCGGTGGCCAGAAGCGGCCACTGCACTCCAGTCTGGGTGACCGAGTGAGACTCCAACTCAAAAAAACCCCCCAAAAAACACAAACAAACAAACAAAAAACAAACAAAACAAAATAAAAAAAGAAGTGCTACTTTGATAAGATAGGGAAAATCAGCTTTGACTCAACTCCCACCAAAAAATCCTTAAATTCCGTTGAAGTTTACTCTGGGAAGCAGCAAAAGAATCACACCTGGAGGATGACCAAAATCTCAGCGTTGTTTTTCTCCAGGGCTATGTCAAAAGCAGATTTATCAAATTTGCTGAAAGCATGAACATCAGCTCCGTATTTGATAAGTAACTCTACGACTTCTCGATGGTGGTGCTCCGTGGCCCAATGCAAAGCTGTCATCTTCAGCATGTCCTTGGCATTCACATCTGCACCATTCTGTCATAGAAAAGCAATTTTTTCTCAACAAACAGTGGTTACAGTAGCACAGGTGCAACATCCTGTCATCACAAACAGGATTTCCAGAGATTATACATACTCAAATTCAGATCACCTTTAAGGAATATCAAAGGGAAAACATTTATCGAATTCCCCTAAATGCTGGTAGACATAATGCTTTCAATCAATGGGTCCTCTAAGGACATCACTGGGAAATTAAACAGATGGGAGAGGAAGAGGGATAGAACAGATTTTTGCTGCATTTATTAACAGAGAGCCAAGTGCCTGAAAAAAAAATAGGCATAATTGCAGAGAACACCTGCAAAAAGGGAATGAAGAAAAATCAATAAAGTCTGTCATCCTTTTAAATATTGAAAAACTAGGTCAGGGGCCGGGTACGGTGGCTCAAACCTGTAATCCCAGCACTTGGGGAGGCTGAGGTAAGAAGATTGCCTGAGTCCTGTGGTTTGAGACCAGCCTGGGCAACTTGGCGAGACCTCATCTCTACAATAAATCAAAAAATTAGCCGGGCATGTTGACAGGTGCCTGTGGTTGCAGGTACTTGGAAGGCTGAGGCAAAAGGATCACCTGAGCCCAGCAGGTCGAGGCTGTAGTGGCCCTGAGCGTGCCACTGCACTCCAGCCTAGGTGACAGAGTGAGACTTCAACTCAAAAAAAAAAAAGAAGAAAGAAAGAAAGAAAAAGAAAAACTGAGCCAGGAACAATGGTTCATGCCTGTAATTCAAGCACTTTGGGAGGCCAACAGTTCAAGACCGGTCTGCAAAATAGTGAAACCTGCCTCTAGCCGGGCTTGGTGGCTCAGCCTGTAATCCCATGCCTTTGGGAGGCTGAGGTGAGTGGATTGCCTGAGCTCACGGGTTCGAGACCCGCCTGGGCAACTTGGCGAGACCTCATCTCTACAATAAATAAAAAAATAAGCCGGGCATGGTAGCGCGCGCCTGTAGTTCCAGCTACTCGGAAGACTGAGGCGGAAGGATCGCCGGAGCCCAGCAGGCGAGGTTGCGGTGGCCGGGAGCAGCCGCTGCACTTCAGTTTGGGCGACAGAGTGAGACTCCAACTCAAAAAAAAAAAGGAAACCTGCCTCCACAAAAACGTATTAAGCCGGGCTCGGTGGCTCAGCCTGTAATCCCGCGCCTTTGGGAGGCTGAGGTGAGTGGATTGCCTGAGCCCACGGGTTTGAGACCCGCCTGGGCAGCGAGACCTCATCTCTACAATAAATCAAAAAATCAGCTGAGCGTGGTAGCGCGCGCCTGTAATTCCGGTTACTGGGAAGGCTAAGGCGGAAGGATTGCCGGAGCCCAGCAAGTCGAGGCTGCGGTGACCAGGAGCGGCCACTGCACTCCAGTCTGGGCAACAGAGTGAGACTCCAACTCAAAAAAAAAAAAAGTATTAAAAATGAAAAAAAAAAAGAACACTGGACAGGTGTGGTAGCTCACGCCAGTAATCCTAGTACTTTGGGAGGTTCAGGTGGGAGAATCACTTGCGCCCAGGAAGTTTAAGCCCAACCAGAGAAACAGTAAGACCCACCCTGTCTCTACAAAAATAATTTTTAGTTAGGCATGGTAGCTCTCTCCTGTAATCACAGCACTTTGGGAGGCCAAGGTAGAAGGATCATTTGAGACTTGAGTACAAGAGTTCAAGACCAGCCTGGGCAACATAGCAAAATCCAATCTCTATAAAAAATAAATTTTAAAAACTTAAAAAGAAAAAAAATATCTTTTTTGAGTCAGAATCTTACTCTGTTGCCCAGGCTGGAGTGCACTGGCACCCTCATGCCCACTACAGCCTCGACCTTCTGGGCTCAGATGATCCTACCTCAGCTTTCCAAGTAGCGGGAACTACAGGCACACACTGCCGTGCCCAGGTAATTTTTTTATTTACTGTAGAGACGAGGTCTCACAAAGTCGCTCAGGCTGGTCTCGAACCCCTGGGCTCAGGCAATCCTCTTGCCTTCACCTCCTAGAGTGCTGGGGTTACAGGTGTGAATCACTATGTCTGTCTGAAAAAAATAATTTTTTTTTAGAGTTGGAACGTCATTCTGTTGCTCAAGCTAGAGTGCAGTGGCACACTCACCACAGGCTTGTCCTGCTGGGCTCAGGCGATCCTTCCACCTCAGCCTTCCAAATAACTGGAACTATAGGTGTGCACCACCACGCCTGGCTAATTTTTTGATTTATTGTAGAGATGAGGTCTCACGATGTTGCCCAGGCTGGTCTT